AGTCCCATTTTCTGGGCTTCTTCTTCCAGGTTTACCATAGCTTTATGTAGTGCTGTCCTACTTCTTGTTAAAATTGCTACATCATCAGCAAAAGCTAGACATTGATGACTTTTGTGATATAGCAACCCTGATCTATTCAAATTGGCTTTCCTAACCACGTATTCCAACACACAATTAAATAGAATTGGCGAGAGGGGGTCCCCTTGCCGTAATCCTTCTTTCACTTTAAATTTTTTTGACAATTTTCCTTTGATTCTTACTTAATTGTCCGTGTCTTTTAAAGTGAGTTTTATCATCTTTATTAGCTTGTTTTTCATACCTAGTTCTCTTAGAGCTTCATATAACTTTTGGTGCTTGATTCTATCATATGTTTGTTTGAAATCTACGAATAACACAAAAGTCTCATTTTTATACTCAAAACTTTCTGCTTGTATCTCACGTAGTGTAAATATCTGATCCACTACCGACCTGTTCGCCCTGAAGCCACCTTGGTACCCTCCAATTTCCTTCTCTACTTTTTTTATTACTTGGTCTTTTATATACGAGGCAAGAATTTTATAGACTACATTCAGAAGTGCTATTCCTCTATAGTTGGAGCATTTCATCTTATCCCCCTTTTTATGTACTGGAATGAGAATAGCTTCGTTCCAATCTTGTGGCATTTGTTCTTGCAGCCAAATTTGTTGTAAAAGTTTCTGTATCTTTCCTTCTAGCTTCTCTCCCCCGTATTTTAGTAATTCCGCCGTTATTTGATCTTCTCCCGGACTTTTGTTATTTTTTAATTTCTTTATTATTTCCTTTACTTCTCTTAGACTTGGTGCTTTCTCATCTTCTTCATCCTGTATATCTTCTTTGTTTAAATTTTCTTCTATCATTCCTCCATTTTCTTCCCCATTTAGGAGTTCGTCGAAGTACCTCTGCCAGAGTTCTAAAATTTTTTCTTCATTTCCTACCAGTTCACCTTTTTCGTTTTTATAGAACATCGAACTTGATGGGTATCCTTTTTTTTCTTGTTTCAATCCTTGGTACATACTTCTTATCTCTTTATTTTTGTAGTTTTCTTCTATCTGGTCTAATAGTCTTTCTTTATATTTTCTTTTCTTTTCGCGTAAGAGCCTTTTACATATTTTTCGCTGTTCTTTGTATGCCATTAAATTCTCTTCTGTTTCATTTTTTAATCCCTTCAATCTTAAAGTTGTCCTTTTTTCTAATATTCTTCTTCACATTCCGTATCAAACAATGTCTCGTTTTTATTTTCCTTCCCTGTTTCTTGAGTGCTTTGTGATGACGCTTTTTTTGTTCCATTTTTAACTTCCAACCATAACTCTTCTATGTGTTCTGTATCTTGTTTTTCACCTGCTACCCAATCATTCACCATTTCCAAATACATCTTCCTCTCCTCCTCATTTTTCAATCTAATACACGTTTTTAAGTTTTTGCGTTCTTGGTTCTTCCTGTTTTTTGCAACTGGTACTATTTGCTTCATTTTTACACCTACTAAGAAATGGTCTGTGTCCAGATCTGGTCCTCTATAACTTCTTACATCGGTTATACTTCTTTCTTCCATTCTTTCAATTAGGGCATGGTCAATTTGATTTACAGTTTTTCCATCTGGTGCAATCCAGGTTCCTTTGTGTATTTCTTTTTTTTTTTTTTTGGAAATATGTACTTTTTATGATCATATCTTTCTCTCTAGCAAAGTCTATTAAAATCTGACCATTGTTGTTTGTAACTTCATGTTTGCTATATTTTCCAATCGTTGGTCTAAACAATTCTTCTTGACCAATTTTTGCACTTAGATCTCCTAATACAATCTTCAAATCATATTTTTTTATTTTTCCATATTCCTTATCTAGCGTCTGATAAAATTCTTCTTTTACTTCTATATCTGTTTTTTCCGTTGGTGCATGTACATTTATAAGCGTAATCTTCTGAAATCTTCCTTTCAGCCTTAAGCAGCACATCCTGTCTGATATCGCTTGAAATTGCAATATATGTTGTTTTAGTTTTTTATGTACAATAAAGCCCGTGCCTCTAATTTTGCTTTTATCCCCACTATTAAAATATATATAGTCTTCTATTTCTATTATTTGACTCTCTTTTTGTTTTGTTTCTTGTATAGCTGCATCAAAACTATATTTCCTAATTTCTCGCACTAACTTTTCCAACGCTCCTTCTTCATTGAGACCTCTGATATTCGATTTCTTTTTGCTACCATTTTCTTTACTTTGTTCCCCCTTTTTTTTTTAAATCATATCCATAATCACTCCAGTCCGTTTTGTGCTTATCTGCATATACCATAACCTGGTAATCTAGTTTTTTTGAGGCTTAAGCCTCTTTTCTTCGTTATGTCAAATGAATGTGTTGCCGTCGCTTATTAATTTACTGTAGCCTAACTTGACTTTATGTCCCTTTTCTTTATGTTCTTTTGCCATTTTCCTTATCGCCGTTTGTATCTTTTGTTGAGTTGGTGTTAGGTCATCGTTGATATATATCTGCGTTCCCTTTAATCTCGCTGGATAAGAATCAATGGGAAATAATAATCGATTATAGCAAGAAATTAGAGGAAACCAAGATAAACATAAAAAAGGAAACAAAAGAAAAAGGAGATGAAAAAATACTTATAGAAGGGGATTTTAACGCAAGACTGGGCGATAAAGGGACAAGAATAATAGATAAAGAAAAGGGAGAGAAAAGAGGATCAAAAGACAAAGCAAATAACAAAGAAGGGAAAATATTGTGGAAAATAATAAAATAAATGGAATGGGAAATTTTGAATGGAAACAAGGAAGGAGATGAAGAAGGGGAATGGACGTACTTAGGGGCTAGGGTAGAATCAATTATAGACTATGAGATTGTCAATGAAGAGGCGTGGGAAGAAATAGAGAGTTTCAAAGTGGGGGAAAGGGTAGGATCAGACCACATGCCACTAGAAATAAAAATCAAAGGAGTATTTGAGGAGAAAGGGTGTAGATGGGTACCTGGTAACAAAATGGAAGAAATATATGAAGAAACAGTACGTAATTTGAGAGTGAATGGAATAGAGAGCAAGAGTTTTTATACAAATAGAGGAGTGAGACAGGGATGCCCACTCAGCCCCGCATTGTTTGCAGCTTATCTATGAGATAAGGATAAAATGTTCAGAAAAGTACAGACAGGAGGGTTGGAAGTGGGCAAAGAGAAAGTGTGGTCGTTGGCGTACGCAGATGATTTAGTGATTGTAGCAAAGAAAAGAGAAGAAATGAAAACAATGATTGAAAGTTTCGAGAAGTGCGTACAAAAAAAAAAAAGAAATTGGAAGTGAATGTGGAAAAAAAATGGTGGTGTTTGGGAAGAAAGTAAGCAAGGGGAAGGAAAAGTGGGCATGGAGAGGGAAGAAGATTGAACAAGTGAAAGAATTCCAGTACTAGGATATACATTGAAGAGCAATAACTCAGATAGAGCGCATATTCAAGAAATGGTCCGAAAAGCGAACATAGTATGGGGAGTAGAAGAGAGAAAATTTGGACACGATTATAAGAGAAAAATGATGATGTTTGATAGTTTGTCAAAAGTATATTTATCCACAGAACTGAGATTTGGGGATGGAGGGAATATGAAGAAATAGAGATAATGCAAGAAAAATACTGAAAATGGACATTGCGATTGGAAAAGTATACGCCGGGTTATGTAGTGGGAGAAGAAACAAAATGGGAAAAATGAGAGTGGAAGCGGGTAAAAGGGCGGTTCGATTTGAAGAGAAGTTTAGTGAGAGCAGTGATTGTAAAATATTGCAAGAATGCTGGAAAGAAATAAGAAAGAAAGGGGGAAAACATGTTTGGAGCGAAAGAGACAAGTATTATGAAGGAGACGGATATGCATGTGAAGAAATAGAGGGAATGAGAGAAATGGGAAGGAGTATGAAAAAGAACTGAGTGTAAGAGATAAGGATATAAATAAGCAAGAACGCAGATCGAGAAGATCGGAGTCTAGATATAAAGCAGAATATAGGAAAATAGTAAAGGATGAAGTACCAAAGTACACACACAGAGACAGTATAAAGGAGAAAAAAATGGTGGCGAGATTTAGGTGTAGAAATGAAGAGAAAGAGAATAATTTTTGGATGGATGAAACTAACAGAAGGTGTAGGATATGTTGGAGAAAGGGAGAAACAATAGAACATATGCTGGAAGGATGTGAAGAATTGAGATAATCGGAGGAAAGTAGGGAAGAAGTACTAAACGAGGACGGAAGACGACTGGACGGATGAAAGACGTATGGAAGATGAGGGAACTAAGGCAAGGGGTGGACAAGCAGAAAGAATAGAACAACGATTATTATATAATATAACACTCGAATATTTATTTTATTTTATTCATTTTTATTAATTTGTTGTATAATAAATATAATAAATTAATACTACTATTTGGCATTGACATCTTCGTCATTTTTTTTCTGTCATTGCTATGACTGCTTATTAAAAAAAAAAATTAAATTAGACGAAGTCGTCTCTGGGGTGCACAATATGCGCATATTTACATGTTTTTTTTTTTCTGCATATAATTCCGAGATTTAGTCATAATTGTATGGTTGTTTTGTTTTAAACATACACACATTAAACAAATTTTAATTCTACAAACAATAATAAAAGTGTGTAGCGATGTGTTTCATGTGTTTTGCTTTGTAGTGTGAGGGGCTAAGTTCACGTTTCTAAACACGTAGAGCGGACACAAACACCTAGGGGTCAGGCGCTTTACTCTAGTGGGAACTGGAACCACAGATTTACAGTATACAACCTTGATCTCGCATAAACTGCTCTACACGTGTCTTCGTTTTACGCAGCTTTATATCTTAAGCTTAAAGATATAAATCCGAGGTAAATGTTTTATTTACATCATTGTCATAAGTTAAAGAAAAATAGTTTCTACAATTTTTTGTTCTGCTTTTAACCCTTTGTCGAACTAAATAAATACACAAGAACATTGTAAAATGAAACTACAGTTCATGGAAAGATACGTTACCTTTGGTGAGAATAAGCAGGCGACGGTTACACTGGCAGACAAACTTATGGTAACCGACATGCTCGTAATTCTCAGTGCGACATGATTAGCAGTACCAAAGTACAGAGGGACAAAAGCCAGCCAAATCACACAAGTTGTGTACATGGTAAAACCTGAAACAAGAAAATCAGTTAATGTCTCGTCACGTAACTCTAAAACGTGTAGGTTTTTACTTAAAAAATGCATTACTTTCGTAAAATTTAATACGAGAGTGACTTCTGAAGTAAAATTCCAGAACACTCTCTCTACTTGTCAACAACTTTAATTTTATTTTGGTTTATTATCGTGGGTGGTAAGGGAAAATTTATAATGAAATTGCGTGTGATGGATGTGTATGGTGACTGCTGACTAAACAGTGGCATCGTTTTATTCAGGTTTTGAAATATTCTGAATGTGCATTAAGCACGCTACTCCTATTGAGTCAATAGTAATAATAATTCAGCCTATAATTAGATAGCTATGTACCGTGCAATTTTCTGGTAAAGTCAAACGTCTTTATTAAATACTCATGAACTGTTGGCTCAGCCGTCAATTTAATAGGTAAAGTGGAAAAGAAATTTAATACTTTGTAAATGCGTATTTTTTCAAACTTGTTGCATTCCGTTTCATGAACAAAAACAATTAAAGTCGGAGGGACGGTATGAAACTCTCAAGTAATTTCGACACAAATATACACATCATTATAGAATTTCGCGTACACAAATGTGAGTAGCGCTTTGTGCCAAACGTTTTAATATTCATCACATAACTGGTGTCATGTTAAATTAAGCCTTTAAAAGCTTCTGTACAAACAATTCCAGCAAACTTTCTCTTTGTTTGCAAACTTTCGTAAAACACTAATTTTGTCACTCCTTTAGCAAATCATTCGAAACTTGTTTTCATTGAAGTTATTTGTGAAAGAAAACTAGGATAAGTAAAATATTTGCGGTCAAGATAAATTTTAAAATGATAGTAAAATATATGTAAAAAATTTGGATTTTGAAGTTTTACAAAAAAAGAAAACAGTAGAACGGCAGAATGACAAGGAGTTGTAGACAAAACTACTTAAAATATACCGTTGTCTATACCGTCGGAAAAAACTTATCAAGATTATACAGGGTGTGCCATTCATCTAGTGACGCAAGACTAGTACGAATATGAAAAAATGTTTGACGGGGTCTAATAACATGTATTTATTTAGAGAGAAAAAAATGTGTTGGAATATGTCTCAAGAAGTTTGGTATCAAAAGAAAAATCAGAAGATCGAGAAATCGAAAAGTCATGAAGTAGAAAAATTGAAAAACCGAAACAGGCCAAAATCGGAAAAACGAAAAGTTAATGTTGAAAAATTGGAAAATCGAAAAATCTAAAACCGAAAAAATAAAAAAATGGAAAAATGGAACAATGGAAAAACTGAGAAACCGAGAAACTAAACAATCAAAATATCGAAACATCCAAATCTCCATAAATCGGGAAATCATAACACTGAAAAATGTAAATTTTAAAAAATCGAAAAATTGAATAATAGAAATATCGCAGAACTGAAAATCGAAATACCAACAAATCGAAAAAGTGAAAAATTCAAAATTCTAAAATTCAAAAACCGGAAAACGAAAATTTGAGAAATTAAAACTCCTAAATTTAAAAAAATCAGATAATTGAAAATCGAAACATTGAAAAACTGGAAAATCGAAAAACCGAAAAGTAAAAAATCGAAGAACTGAGAAATCGAAAAATCAGAAGATCGAGAGATCGAAAAGTCATGAAGTCGAAAAATTGAGAAACCGATACAGATCAAAATAAAAATTGTTAAAGTTATGAATTGAAAAACTCATAAATCGAGAACTGAACAATCAAAATATCGAAACAATAAAAAATCGAAAAATTTAAAGAAACGAAAAATTGAAAAACAGAAAATCTAAAACCGAGAAGTCAAAAATCGAAAGATTAAGAGATCGAAACGTTTGAAAAATTCGAAAACTTAACAAATTGAAATATCTACAAACTGAAATGAAAAATTGAAAAATCTAAAATTAAAAAAATTGAACAATCAAAATATCAAAAAATTGAAAAATCTAAGATAAAAAAATCAAAAAATTTAAAAATCAACAAGTAAAAAAATCGACACAATGAAAAATCCAGAAGTCAAAAATCGAAAAGTCGAAGAATCGAAATATTGAAAAATCTCAAAACTGAAAAGTAAAAGAAAAACTGAAGAAATAAAAAACTAAAAATTCGAAAACTGGAATGTCCAAAAACCGAGATTCTAAAAAATTGTCAAGTCGAAATTGAGAAGTCGAAAAATTAAAAAAGAGTTGTCGAAAAATCGACACCTTAAAAAAAAACGAAAAATTGAAGAATTGAAGAACAGGAACATCGAAACAGTCGAAATTAAAGAAACAGGAAAATCAAAATATCCATTAAATAAAAACTGGAAAAATTGAGAATTTAGAAAAGTCAAAAATTAAAAGTTGAAAAATCTAAATATTTAACAATCGTAAAATAGAAGTGAAAAATTGAAAATCGAGAAATTAAAAACTGAGAAATTGTAAAATTTAAAAACTGAATAATAAATAATCTGAAAAATCCCAAAACTGAAATTTCGAAAATCTGAAAAATGAAAGAAAAACTGAAGAATGGAAAAACTGGAAAATTTCGAAACTGAAATATCCAAAAACTGAGAAATTAAAAAAATTGAAAAATTGAGAAATCGAAGAATCGCAAAATTGAAGAAATGAAGAAATGGAAAATTGAAACAGTCGAAAGTCAAGAAATGGAAAAATCAAAACATCGATTAATTAAAAATCGGAGAATTGAGAATTTAGAAAAATCAAAAGTTGAAAAATTGAAAATTGAGCAACTGAAATATTGAGGGATTGTAGAGTCATTCAGTTTTCAATCAGTATTATTGTACATACATTGTCGAAAAATTGAATAATAAATAATCTGAAAAATTGCAAAACTAAAATTTCAAAAAATTGAAAATTGGAAGAAAAACTGAAAAATTGAAAATTGAAAAATCAAAAAGTCAAAAAAGTGAAGTCGAAAGAGCAAAAACCTAAAAAGTTGAAAAATTGAAGAATTGAAGAAATGAAAAATGGAAAAACTGAGAGTTTATAAAAGTCAAATCTGAAAAATTGCATGCATATTTAAAAATCGTAACATTGAAGAGGAGAAAAATTGGAAGCATGTAAAATTGAAACATCGGTATATTGAGAAATCAAAAAATTGAAAATCGTGAAATAAAAATTAAGAAATTGTATAAACGAAAACGTGAATAATAAATAAACTGAAAAATCCCAAAACTGATATTTCGAAAAATTGAAAAGTGAAAGAAAAACTAAAAAATCCCACAACTGAAACATCCAAAAACTGACAAATTAAAAAATTGAGAAATCGAAAAATCAAAAAAGTGAAGTCAAAAATCGAAACCTTAAAAAATTGAAAAATTGAAAAATCAAAAACCTGAAAAATAGAAACATTGAAGAACTGAAAAGCTGAAAAATCGCAACAGTCGAAAGTAAAAAAATAGGGAAATCAAAATATCCATAAATTGAAAAATGGAAAAATTGCGAATTTTGAAATATCAAAAATTAAAAATTGAACAATCTAAATGTTTAAAAATTGTAAAACTGAAAATCGAGAAATTAAAAATTGAGAAATTGTAAAGTCGAAAATTTGAATAATAAATATTCTGAAAAATCCCAAAACAGAAATTTCGAAAATTGAAAAATGAAAGAAAAACTGAAGAATGGAAAAACTGGAATATCTCAAAACTGAGATATCCAAAAACTGAGAAATTAACAAAATTTAAAAATAGAGAAATCGAAAAATCGCAAAATTGAAGAAATGAAGAACTGGAAAATCGAAACACTCGAAAATCAAGAAATGGGAAAATCATAACATCGATTATTTGAAAAATCGAAAAATTGAGAATTTAGAAAAGTCAAAAGTTGAACTCGTAAAATTCCTTTAATTTTTTTTGTAAATTGTAAATTTCCGTTAATAAAATAAGCAAATAAATAAACAAAATTGAAGAGAAAAATTGAAAAACGTAAAATTGAAATATCGGATTGAGAAATCGAAAAATTGAAAATTGAGAAATTGAAATATGTATTGAGAAATTGTAAAATCAATCAATTTTCAATCAATTTTGTTGTGTTTAAATGTACATACATTTAATTATCGAAAAATTCAAAAATGAAAAAAAAAAAACTGAAAAATTGAAAAATTGAGAAATCAAAAAGTCAAAAAAGTGAAGTCGAAAAATCAAAACCTTAAAAAATTGAAAAATCAAAAACCTAAAAATTTGAAAAATTGAAGAATTGAAGAAATGAAAAATCGAAAAACTGAGATTTTATGAAAGTCAAATTTCAAAAATTGCATATTTAAAAATCGTAAATTTAAAGAGAAGAAAAATTGGAGGCATGTAAAATTGAAACATCGGAATATTGAGAAATCGAAAAATTGAAAATCGTGAAATTGAAAAATTAAGGAGTTGTAAAATCGAAAAATTGAATAAAAAATGAACTGAAAAATCCTAAAACTGAAATTTCGAAAAATTGAAAAGTGAAAGAAAAACTAGAAAATCCCAAAACTGAAACATCCAAAAACTGAGAAATTAAAAAATTGGAAAATTGAGAAATCGAAAATTCAAATAATTGAAGTCGGAAAATCGAAACCTTAAAAATTAGAAACAGTGGAAAGCCAACAAATAGGAAAATCAAAACATCGATTAATTGAAAAATCGAAAAATTAAGAGTTTATAAAAGTTAAAAATTGAAAAATAGAAATGTCTAAAAATCATAAAATTCAAGAGGTGGAAAACTGCTACAAATTTTATTTAAAAAATAAACAAAAATTCATGCAAAGTCGATTCTAACGTTTCCAAAAGGTAAAAATAACTACACTTTTCCGAAAAAAATCTATTGCATGACAACGGTTTCAATAGTAAGTTGTTAATTTGCGAAATTTTGCTAGTACCAAACATAAATAAAGAATTATTTCTTAATTAAACTAAACTTGATTAACAATTCTTTCCTGGAGAAATTATGGTCGAATTGGTTAAGATGTGTATCAGAACACGGAACATGGCTTATAGATCAAATCGTTTCTGAACGCTTAGAGTTGACATTGCCCTGAGTGCGCTCTGGACTATAGATCAAACAAGTTCTCAGTCGACAAACTATCAACCACTGCTTTTTAATCGACGTAACTCAATGAAACATTCGATAATCCGAATTATGGTGCAAATTGAATTTTCCTTCTACGAATTTTAAAACTTCAAACGTGTTCTACGTGTCTGTACTTCGACTTGGAAAAGGAACAGCATGCCAATATGTGTCGGGTTGTGATTCCATGTGGTCACATGTGTGAGCGGCCAACATAACTCTAAACTAAAAGTGTCTAGGAAATTCAGGTTGCTGCCGTAATTCTAAGTTTTCATCTCATTTACGTTCAGAACTCCAGTCTGGTCGTTCAGGCCAAAATTGAAATGATGCCACAAAAACTGATTCCTTTAAAAATTACGTAAACGAAAGCGTTTAAAAAAAACGTCACTTTTGAATAAAATTTATTGCTGATACCGCTTAATAATTTTACACTTTGAGCACTTTTTTTATAGAAAAATTTAAATAATGCTCTGAATTATACGAATGGTCTACTGTTTTTGATGGAGTTGATCCCCAGTGACTTCCCTTTTAATTCGTCATAAATTAATGTCATCAAGTTTGTCCATCGTTTGAATACATTTTCGGTTTTAATAGCTAACGTAGTTCAAGAGATAACAAATTTTGAATTTTGATAATTATGTTTTTGATAAATTAATAAAGCTCCCATGAAGCGTTTGACAATATAGTTTTGGTTGTGTTATGCCGGTAGTAAATAATAAATAAGTATATATTATTCTCTATGCGTAAACTTTTATTTAAATAGAAATAAAATACTTACCGATATGTTTCGATTCGTTAAATGCCTCTGGAATTTTTCTAGTCAAAACGGCATACACCGTACATATAATGATTAGGAAGATCGGATAAGTGAAAGCAATCATATAGGAGGCGTCTATATAAGAGGAACAGACTAAAAGGTTATCCTCTCTGGTCGGGTAATGATGAATAGCTCTGGCCGGCGAGATAACCATCCAGACGCCATTTATGAGAACCTGCAACAGACAGAGGTTGAAAAGATAATAAATTTAAATAAAATAATAGAGAACCGAAAGAGCTTTCCGTTACCTGAACGCCAACGAGTCCGGAACAGATGATCAGTTGTGAACGGGGTGATATAAAACTTGGCCTTTTTGCCGAGTGCTTGCCAGCATTGAAAATGCGGGAAATGCGGTTAGTTTTTGTTAAAAGGGCCGCGTAAACTACGGTGAAGCAGAAGCCAGCTCCGAACCTGAAAAGAACGTCACATGAAACGTTTGATTAAAGTTCTGCTTTTTGAAGTAAGGCTTTTATGGCATAATTTGAAAGTAAATCTTTATTCGATTTTTCTCGAGGCTGAAACGCTAAGAAAGTTGAAATTTGAAATATTTGTGATTAAAATTCTGAAATCAGTTAGCCTGGTTAGCTTGATTTTGTATTATTCAAATCCTTTTGGTAGGTGTCTCTTCAAAAATTGACTACTTACTGTGTAATTATAGAATTATAGATACTATTCTAAATTATTTTAATTGTGCTTGATTTAATAGTAGAAATTTAGTATGTAGCTGCACTCAAAAATATAAAACAAGATTTAGATTTAAGGAAGTGTTGTTTGGTATAAAATTATTGTCTGAATTATTCATTGTTTGTTACAAGCCTTACATCAGTGTGGTAGACACAATTCGTGCGCGAAAAATATCCAATAAATTTTGAGAAATACGTCTGCAGATCCACAATTGTGTAAGCACATGTGATTTAATGCTTTTTGATAAGGAAAACTACTTGAAAATGTAACTCAAGTGTGATATCTTCACCATTATTTTCAATTGAGGTAACTTGCCATGTTTTGTGAGAAACAACAACTCTGAATTGTGTTTATTGCTAGAGACCGTGGAGTACAGTTCGGTGTTGTTTTAGGTAATAAAGTGGTAGGAAGAAATTCTAATAAAATGTTACGAGACCAGTTACTAAGTGGAGACTTATAATGAGTCGCAGATTAATATTAATATATAATTAGAGGGTTTCTATAAATGATTCTAAGGGCGTAGTCGGCTATAGATTTATAAAATCCCGCTTGCTGAAGATATGCCTCACTTTGAGAGTTTTAAAGTCATCGCTTCTATTGTTCTAGTGTTCTCCAAATGTGGATTACAGTAATTCTCGTTAATCCAACGTCAAAGCAACAAAACAGTCATTGTCAAAACTATTGATATTTGCGTACGAAAATTTTGTTTTTGCGTTAAGAAACGAAGACCGTGAAAATGTTTTATTCTGTTGAACAAAAGTAAGTGTATTCTGTAACCACTTGTAAGCAAGAATATATGGCCAAATACCCTAATTTGCAAATTCAAGAACACATTTAGAGGTTCATATTACAGCTGTAATCAACAAATTTATTCGAACTGGCAGTGTTAACAAAGTTAAATCTCCTCGAAGATCTTCAGTATCTAAGGAAGTTGTTATTGATTTTGAGACTACGAGCAGAATCCGCAAACATTTTTGACAATATTGTCTCAGCAGTCAGGAGTTCCTGTTGCAACATGAAATTGAACAATTGGTCCAAAGCATTGACGCAAATTGGTGAACATTTTCAACATTTACTGTACATGTTATTATTTTTTTCGGAAAAGTGTAGTTACTTTTATCTTTTGGAAACGTTAGGATCCACTTTGCATGAATTTTTGTTTATTTTTTTAATTCAAATTTGTGGCAGTTTTCCTTCTCTTTAATTTTACGATTTTTAGATCTTTCAATATTTCGATTTTTGACTTTTATAAACACTCAATTTTTCGATTTTTCAAGTAGTCGATATTTTGATTTTCCCATTTCTTGACTTTCGACCGTTTCGACTTTTCATTTCTTCAATTCTTCAATTTTTCAAATTTTTAGGATTTTGATTTTTCAATTTTTTAAAGTTTTGATTTTTCGATTTTACTTTTTTGACTTTTTGATTTCTCAATTTTTCAATTTTTCAGTTTTTCTTTCATTTTTCAGTTTTGCGATTTTCAGATTATTTATTATTCAATGTTTCGATAATTAAATGTATGTACATTTAAACACAATAAAATTAATTGAAAATTGAATGATTTTACAATTTCTCAATATTTTAATTTCTCAACTTTCAATTTTTTGATTTCTCAATTCGATGTTTCAGTTTTACGTTTTTCAATTTTTCTTTTCAGTTTTACGATATTAAATATTTCAATTTTTCGATTTTTCAATTAATCGACGTTTTGATTTTCCCATTTCTTGACTTTCGACCGTCTCGATTTTCTAGTTCTTTATTTGTTCAATTTTGCGGTTTTTCGATTTCTCAATTTTTTAATTTTTTTAATGTCGCAGTCTTTGGATATTTCAGTTTTGAGATTTTCCAGTTTTTCTTTCATTTTTCAATTTTTCGAAATTTCAGTTTTGAGATTTTTCAGATTATTTTGTATTCAATTTTTCGATTTTACAATTTCTCAAATTTTAATTTCTCGATTTTCAATTTTTCGGTTTCTCAATTTTCCGATGTTTCAGTTTTACGTTTTTTCAATTTTTCTCTTCAATTTTAAGAGTTTTAGTTAATTAGAATTTTCAATTTTTAATTTTTGACCAAATTCTCAATTTTTCAATTTTTCAATTAACGGATATTTTGACTTTCCTATTTCTTTACTTTCGACTGTTTCGATGTTTCTGTTCTTCAATTCTTCAATTTTCGATTTTTCAGGTTTTCGATTTTTCAATTTTTCGATTTTTTTAAGGTGTCGATTTTTCGATTTCACTTTTTTTATTTTTTTTCATATAAAGATCAACTATCATTCTGACTAATAATTGTAGCTTTTGTAAATAAAAATTTGAGATTGAAAATGCACTAATGTAAAATTATCGCTGAAATTCAGTTTTTATTGGTCGTCTTGCAAAAATGATAAACTATTAAACTGTATCAATTTTTTTGAAGAAAATAGTCGGAATAGCTTTCGGGAAACACTCTTGTGGGACGTAATTTATTAAAAGCTATTGAGAAATGATTTCGTACTTAAATACATATAATTGATCTTTTTATACTTCTGAACTCTATATACTAAGTTTAGATTTAAAAATTAACAGACAATTAAGCAAAACAATATCTAGACCAGGGGCGGCTGGTGTCGAGGGGCACAAGGGCATCCCCAAAATTCTATACGTCTACAAACACACTGGACATGGTAGAATAGTAATTTTCAAGATTTAAAAAATGATCTGTAAATTTGTGTCATAATTATCAAAACTAATTTTTTTATCTCGCTCCACTTGTATAAAATGTATCAAAACTATGATATGTTATTTCTGGTGAAATGCTGAAACCTGGGCACAGAGATCGAATCATGGCTGAGGAAGATGTTTTGTTTACACCATTGCCGTGGAAATCACAAGTCGAAGCTGCCTGATATGCGCCTGATACAACTGGACTGTGGTTCCATTCCGACCGTGCTCGGGAGGATTGAGTTAATTTTCATTCTGCGCGAACACGTATGATAAATATTCTTGGATAATCTTCTCGGTAAATACGGCTGAATTGAACTCTGCTTTATCAAGTCATTTGAAAGAAGCAACGGTTTTTAAAGGAACGGCTAAAACTGTTCAAAATGAACTTTTAGATGCCATGAACGTAAAATTTTAACCTAAGGCAAAAAGGTGTGTGGAAAAATCCTTTTTTACATTTATTGAATGTATTTTTGTATTTATTTCCGTCACACAATTTCGTTTATTAATTGGTAATAACAACCTGTGTTATATCTTCATATTTAACTCATCAATCAAATTGTGTCTCCCCATTTCAAAAGGTCACGAGCCGCCACTGATCTAGACTACTTCGTAGTAGAAATATTGGAGCAGATAACTTAGTTAAAATTAACACTCGGGTTAGGTAAGTGATGTTATCTATCAAGTTACACACTGAGCTAATTCCAAGACTGAACCCTTATGGGACACACAACATTTCCACTATTTTCTGCAGTTCTCGTATCTTTCGACCTGCCACTTCCTTCTTTTCTTTGTAGAGGAGAGGCTTCTCAGACCTTTGTCACTCACCGTTGTGATGATTTGTAAAAATGAGCATAATCGATGATGTTGTTGAGAAATTCTTCCCCCAATGCATCCCAAACTGGTTGAATCAAATACTCTCACACAATTCAGTCATTGTCATTTTTGAGTGAATACGCAAATATGCAAACAAAGCTCTGAAAAGAACAGTTTTTAATGTAAAGATTATTTCTACAGGAGGCAACAATAAAACAAGAAAACAAATAAGCAAATTTAGAAATAACGTTTCTAGTGATAGATGCTGAAGTCCACTGAGATTGAAATTCTTGTAAAATTTAAATCACAACTAGAAATCAGTTTATAACGATTTCAGTTTTTGTCTTTTTCAAATATTAGGTATACTATATTATCGGAAATTAAGATTAATTTTGTTGAAAACTTTTCTGCTGTCGCTTTCGGGGCATTGGTAGTGTTTCTTGACCTGCCGCAGCTACTATTCAATGAATGGCACAGAACGACTAGGATTAAGAATCGAAAAAACGGCGCACTGATAAACAACGTGCAAAAACATGTTGGTTGCCGTCGTGTATTCGGTTAAGGTCTTTGACAATGGTGACTTTTTCCAATTCAGAGCGTGTCGACATGGTAATGCTTTGGGGTGTGCCTAATGGAAACGCCAGATTGGTCCGCGAATTGTGAATCAAGCGCTTTCTAAATCGCGCGATTCCATGTGCGTGAACATTTAGATCGGTGGTACAGCATGCCACTTTTAGTTGCTGGTGTGTGGGGCGTATTCTAGGACCACACAAATGCTCGGATATTTAACATTGGTCTTGAACACCATAAAAGACAAATCAAAATACTAAAGGACCTAAAAACTATATGGTAGTGTTAAGGTAGTCAAGTTAAGTATAATTGGTTGTATAATTTCGCTTCGTTGAGGATTTTCAGTTCTCACCTTTGTTTTCTTTTCGATTGTTTTGGCGCCAGCCGATATGAGGCGGTTGGGGGTACGTATTTTGCCCCTCAAATTTCAGCGGATGGCTGCTATAAGCTTCACGGGGTGTCTCTCTACATCCCTGGGTGCCGTATCACTCAAACCTCTTTCCCTACACTTTTATTTTTCCTCTCGCCTTCTCTCTTCTATGTACCAAAGTACCGTTGCACTGTTTTGAAGATGATCTTTCCTTCCTTTCTACTCTTTGTCGACACCCCAAACAGTGCAACCCTTCTCCTATGTTTCCATTGTTAATTTACTATCGCCCTCTCTTCACTCTTTTTTCTCCACTTTACCTCTTTTGCGAATCAAACAAATAACATCTCATCAAGTACGATAATAATAAGCTTACGCGAAACTAAAATATCGGTACGACTTCCGTAAAGTTCCAATTAAAAGTCAAATTTAAATACAGATTTATTAAGATCCCTCATGACCGGGTCAGAAGTTTCCCTAAGGGGGGGAGAATTAGAAGAGTCTTCCATTTTGGAAGGATTCGGTCGAAGTGATCCGAAGGAGCAAGTCGTGTCGTGAGGATCAGGAGGTGTCCTGAAAATATCGTTCCGAATACCGCTATCGCTCTATCGCTTTTTCATATCGTTTAGGGTTGCATTACTCAACCAACTATCGTTATTAAACTCGCTAACTCCGAGGGATCGAGTGTGAGGCTTTCTCAAAGCTCGTATTATTACTTTTTTTTTTGCGTCGCCATACTGGAATTTTCCAAAATCCAAGTCGAAGAAGACACCGAATATCGCCTCCCGAACAACTCCAGATCGCTGTTATCAACTTGCTGGGGCAGATCGCTGTTACTTCGCCTGTAAGATATATCGTTCTTATCGCCTTTGAAATATCGCAAAATTTGACTTTTGATTTGGTTGAGACTAATAATTCTATTTCTTTGCATACAATAATTAATAATTCGATAAGTTTCTTACACCTTGAAACGCCAATTAGTATTGAGTAGTCATAATAGTATTCAATAATATCCTTAAGGACCTCCATGTTATAGCGGCACATTTCATTTCTATTTTATAGATTCGTTTTTTTATACTTATTATAATTCCACAATATTTCTCCATATTGTAATTGTCTCTGTTAACTTTTTTGTCGCTTCAATAGTTTTAGGCTTATCACTCTCGCTCATTTCATCTCATTAATACGAAGTTTTTTTATATGCTTTCAACACTTCAATTTCACTTAGAGAGTAAAATTATATTTTTGCATTATATTCATCTTGTTTAGAAGATTAATTTAATTGTTAAAAATCGAATATCTTAGTTCTTTAATTTAAATATCTTAATTTAATTGTTCCAATCTATTCTACAATATTTATACAAACTTATGACCGCTGGAACTTATTGTTAATTTTGCTGTTTGAAGTTTTTGCAAATTTAGAAATTCTGTCGACTCCTAATTTGCTCATTTTGACTCCTCATTATATTTAATTAATTAAAGTTAACCAGATTTAATTTGATCTATCTTAGTGTAACAGAGTGATAAAAAAAGGGAACATCCTAAAAAAATGTGAGAGACTTTCAGTAACTTAAATTGGTGTAACACGGCTAAGGTAAGTTACTTGGCGCCCAAATTATCATTTTTTTATTGTTCTACTCACCACCCTACTCACGGACAGCTATCTGACGTGCCAGTGTTACAATAAGACCGAAAGAATACTGTAAGTTGAAGAACAAATTTGGGAACGCGTCGAAAAAGAGACCGACATCAGCACTCGTCACATATGGTACTTGCATGATGTAGCACCACGACATTTTGCTAGGCCAGTAACCGAACGGTTAAACAACCATTTTCATAACCAGTGGGTCGGTAAAAACAGCCCAGTAGCTTGACCTCCGCGTTCACCCGATCTCAATCCGTGTGATTTTGTCTGTTGGGTTGGATGAAACAGTTAGTTTACGGAAATCAACAGTATCTAGAAACTATCGAAGAGCTTCAACAACGAGTGGAACTCTAGAAGTTTTTTACAAACATGTTGAGACGTGTTGAAGCTTGTATTGCTAGTCGAGGGCAATATTTTCAACATTGATTGTAAAAACGTAGGAGCATTCTAAGTTGCCCTTATGTTTGTTCTAATAAACAATGTGGAATCGTGGCAAGTACCAAATATCTATTAGAATAAAAAGTCGATCATCATGAAGCATTACCAAAAATCGGTCCTTCTCAGGATCACCATTTGTTTAATAATCTTTCGCATTCGCCTTTAACAATGAATGAAAACACGAATGAACGAATGAAAACCAGCAAAAAGCGGTTTTACTTTTAATTGAAACTGAAAGTGTCCCCAACGTTTTTATCCGAACGTTTTTTCGCTACTGTAGAAAAGGTGGACCAGTGGCATCTCATCGAGGGTGGTGCATGCGGGTTTGCCCCATTCGACTTTTAATTTGTTTTTCCTATATTTCCATATTACTACGGTACGTGATACAGCGTTTACAATTATTGCATATATTTCGAAACCACCCTGTAAATTATGTTACTCGCTCGATATTATAGATAACTGCTAAAGTTTGTGTTGCGTGGGAATACACGCAACTCGTCATTTAACGTATTTCTGGTGCCACAATAGCTGAATTAACAAAATTTTACCTCTGAATCCCACACACGATATCATTCGGCCTCAGCACCAGTGCGTACGTGACGCTGTAACACATGAGTATTCCTGCCAACAGCACGTAGCTCAACTCCCTCCCGGAAGCCCTCACAACCGGTGTGTCGTTGTGCCTGATGAACACCCCACAAACGAACATGGTAATGAGGATCCCGGTCGAACTGAACGCCATGGCTCCGATGGCCCAGCCGCTGTCCGGCCGCAGGTACTCTTCTGGAATATCTTCGCAGCGAATGTGGTGCGGGTCCGGGACCGTCCCTTGCGGGCAGGCCACGCACTGCGTCGGGTCCTTGGGGTGGAGGATCTGGAGGTAAAAATGGCCGAGTTTAGTTAAATTGGAGCATTCGTGTTTAATAGATGTATTCAATTACCGACGGCAGCGACAATAATGGCAACTAATGGAATTTACCGAATAAAGTTGAGTTGCTCTCACAAACTTTATCAGATAATTGGAATGGAATTAAACAACTTTCCAGTATCGAGTTCGATTATACTCCGGAATTGAATTGCATAATTAGGTGGCAGGCTCGGGTTGATTGCAGACGTGTGTAATCTGGATCTGGTCACGTGTGTGTCGGGACGAGAGCCCAGGGAAATGGTTACCGACTGAGGAGAATAAGAGATAAGAATACTCTTTTAGCGGAAACTGTCTATCAATAAAAATCACTTCACACGGGCTGCGGCGAAAAATACGATAACAGTTTTTTACGAAATGGAAAATTCAAACGAGTAATAAAGGAGTTATTATGTTTAAGTATATACAAAATTTTTCTGGACTATATATTGCTTTTTTTCCTAATTACACTGTAATAATCTAGAGGCAAATTATGACATTGTTGGATATTTGAAACACGAATACGTTTTTTTGCTTAAAAAATAATGGAAAATGGTCGGTCTTCAAATATAACTCTCAAATAGCTTTGGATTATTACTTTCCTGTCGTATTCGCTGGCGTATGCCGTTGCTGCACCCAGAAGCAGGCTCGTATTATGAAAATGTACACAGGTTCACGAAACAAAACTTTAAATATTTAAATCGTAAATTTTTTATTGATCAAATTAAGAACGAGTCATCCCATTTTCCCGAAAATGTGAAAATGCAAACGTCTTTATTTAAAAAGAATTATAATAATGATGTTCATGAAATTTTGTCGATTGCAGCTTACTACTTAATAATTTTGATCCTCCGTTTTGAGAGGACGAACTCATTCAATTGAAACTAGTTTCTACGTGACATTCTTCCGATCTATAAACATAAACACTTTCGAGTTGTTTTTCTTATCGACGATAACCTAAGGACGTACAGTAATGGAGTCCGTCGGGCAATTTAGTACTTTCATATTTTCTCGATATTTCATAACCCCTAGACAAGGTTGTAATTAGGGGGAGGTTAGACGAATACTAATTATAAAAAAAGTGAACGTGTATCCGTTTAAAAATCAATGTAGCTATAGTTTTTTACGTGTTCAATACCTTAAATTACTCAGAATCTTAAAAAAAAAAGATGTTTCTTGTTTTAAAATTAGGAGACTTATTCCACATTGAAAATTGAATAATGCTATGGATTTTTACGCAACTCTGTTTTAATGTTACCGGTTTTTATTTTCCATTGTTTCTATAAACACAACATGTGGGTGTAACGTGGGATATATTGGACCACCGTTAAGTTTAAGACATGTTCGAAGGGATGCTACCATCAATAAGCTTTTCACTACCCACTCGAGTGCAGCCCAATACAAGCACACGGTGGGAGAAACCACTGTGGGTTTGGAGACCCGCCCCAAAGATCCTGTTATTTGCTTGAAAAGGGAGTAACCTCTTACACAAACCCTGAACCAAGAATGTAAGATTGTAGTATGACGCATACCTGGATTAGTCGAAGTATCTGGAAGGTTTGTTGCCCTGAGTGGCATCCGCGAGATATCTCTTTCCGTAAAGAATGTTAAGCTTCCTATGAAACAAGTGCTTAGAAGTGGAATCATACTCTAATCCACTTGAGAATCCCGCTTTTAACATGGGATAGATTGATGTTGACGAATATTGGTAGAGCTAACCACTTATCTACAAAATTCTGTGAACATGGAAATCTCCACTGCTGGGGGATAAACTTGACTTGATTGTTTTAAGAGACTCTATACTCATATCGAATACCTTATTATGAATTCGCTTCTAAAAGAACACACTCGTTTCCTCTCAGAACTAAAATCCATTTTTGAGCAAGCTTGTCCACTTCGAAGAGTGCATCATTTGCCGCACCTAAATCGGGAACTGCATCAAAACTGATTTGGTAATTTCACACTGATACGTGTACCGAACAACACCATATTAGCCATAGTACCCTTTGTACCTTCCTCTTACAGGGAAAGTCTGGTTTCGGAGTTCTCAAAGGCTAAATCAAAGGACAACAGTAGTAAAAAGTGAAATAATCATTACCATAATCGTATTACGAGTCACGGGCTGCAAGAAGAAAACCCTTTTGAAACCTAGGACCAGGTGCTGTCGAGAAGTCACAATGGTCCGAATTAGATACGTTTTTTGTCGCAAAAGTTCGCCCAAAGTTGATACGAATACTTAAAAGATCAACAACGATAAGGAATTTGCAATTGAAGGAATTTTATTTATGATGCACTTTGACTCTCTGGAATGTTTCGCAAAATTAGATTTTGAATGTAATGCGATGATGGAAGGAACAGTTGCATCATGGAAATATTCTGTTTGCGTCAAAAAAAATGTTCCTCAAGCTCATGTCGGTACTCAAGCATGTGTTCCTTTGTTCTATGATCCGCAATAATGACACTACGGGTCTCAAAAGAGGTGGAGGTGTATTACTAGCTATTGATCAGAGACTAAATGCTAAACTGATAAAATTTGATCGCTCCGATAACAATATAAATATATCACCTATAATAGATTTTTTGTTAGTGAAGTTTGTTTCCCATTCTCGCACGTTATTTGTATTGCTCATATATATCCCTCCCTCCTGTGATAGCACAGCTTATGATGTTTTCGTCGACTATCTACTATCCTTAGAATGTCTTTTCGGATCTGGGTTACTCTTTCTTGGTGACTTTAACGTCCCGAAATTTGTCCAATCCACATCTAGTTGCTCTAGTTCTAAATATCTTTCTAGTGTAAACCACCTAATGAACTTTTTGACATGAAAAACAGTGTAATCATATCTTGAACGCCAATAAAGGCTATTAGATCTTGTTCTAGTCATACAGTGTCTCTAGGGAAGGCGAATCTTTAGTCCCAGAGGACAAGCACTATCCAGCTTCGGATATTAATTTTAAATTTCCTAGATACTGCCATAAAAACATAACCTCGGTACTATTCCATCTACAATTACATATGAGGGTGATAGCACGGTTTTTTCAAAGAAGGTCGAAGAAAGCAGAGGCGACTTAAATTTTCACTCAAGGTCACCGGAGGGAAGGAAACTTACCACTAAAGATTGTCAGATAAGAAATATGCTTGTATTTTTCTTGTTGAACACTGGATAGGTAAAACTGAAATTAACTCAATATGTTTGACTAATTATATGTTAAGAACATCTTATTGCAGAGGTTCAGGAGAACATGATGGATCGTGTATCTTTTCAGCTGCATCAGTTGATGCATTGGTTCTTGATGTCTCAATTTTTTGCGATAAAAAACATTTCGAAGTATGCGGAGTTATTATTGGTAAAATTCATTATTTTGTAATGTATCGATCGACTAGCGGTAATTTTCAACACATGCTGATCTTATTGGACGCTATGTTAAGCAAATACTACAAACAAGAAATTGTGTTTATAGGAGATTTTAATGTACATGTCGGAACAAACGATAAACAAGCTTTTGAACTGGAAAACACTTTCAAATCGTATGGATTAAGAGCTAAAGTATCTCAGAAAACCAGAGGAGATAACTGCCTTGATAATATATTCACAAATTTAGATGTAAACTATGTTGATCTGAGTGTTGTTAATTTTGGTCTTTCTGATCATTCAAGTATTCAATTTAGGATCAAGCATGAACAAAATTACCTATATGCAAATAATGAAATGGTTGAATAACCAAACTAGGGTTGTTTCATTTGCACAATCGAGTTGAAAATGTAGATTGGTCCTTCACAAAAAATAGTAGTATTGAGCTTAATGAACAATGGTGTCTTTTCATAAATATTATAATTCAGATATGTGAGAATTGTTTTCCAATTCTTCGCAGAAAAATAAAAAATCATAAGAAGTCAAGTTGGGTTAATGAAGAAACGAGACAGCTAAGAAACAAGACAGCTAAGAAACATTTTTCAATTTTTTAATGAAGCATATAGACAAGGACATGTCTCCAAACTTACATTTAAAGCTGTAAAACAACATTATATTACTCATATTCGTAGAGAAAAACAAAAATACAGTGACAGAGTAATTTTAAGAGCTTCCAACAAAAATTTGGCAGCATGGAATTTAATTAAGAATAACAGAAACCATAAAAAAGTTGAGAGCACTCCAATAAATCCCAATGTTTTTGCAGAATACTTTGAAAATGTCGCTACGTCAATAATGGAAAAACTGCCACCCTGTGATGTAAGTTCAAGTGAACTCTTACATAAAACTAAACATACCCCTAATGATAAATTTGTTTTTAAAGAAGTTTTAGTGAATATAGTGAGAGACATAATATTTTCCCTCAAAAATACTGCATGCAAGGATGCGTATGGGATTAATATAAAAATTGTTAAATCTATAGGTCATATTTAAGTAATTCCTTTAATGAATCTATCTAATCAGTGTATTAAAGAATCGATCTTTCCCGATGTTTTAAAATTGACCAAAGTGGTGCCTATATTTAAGAAAAACGACAAATTGGACCCTTCAAATTATCGGACTTATTATTGTCAATAATAAGTAAAGTTTTTTGAAAAAATTCGAAAAACGCAAATGTGTGATTACTTTGAAAAAAACAATGTATTTACTAACTGTCAATACGGGTCTCGAAATAATCGTTAAACAACCTTAGCAATAAACAGATTATGTATTGAAATTACAGGTGTACTCGACAGGAATGAATTTTTAGATTCACATTTCTATGATTTAACAAAGCATTTGACTGTGTCTCGCATGATACTCTTCTACATAAATTGAGATTTTATAACTTCAACCATAGTGCCTTGTCACTAATGAAATCATATTTAAATAAGAGGAAACAGTATGTTTCAGTAGAGAGTAGAGAACAGTGCTTGGAGATTAAAATAATTTTACACGGTGTCCCACAAGGTTCAGTGCTTGAACTAGTCTTATTTTTAATTTATATTAATGATCTTC